TCCAATAATGACAATATTTGATAGTGGTGAACTTGAGCTGTTACAATATACTACGTTTTTTTTGCAACTAAAACAAGCTCAAATCTAAGGGAGTGGATAGTAGAATGATGATTTTATATAAAAAAAAATGCAGGCACATTTGATAGAATGGGTACAATCATTGATTGGGAGTGAACATGAAGTTGAAATGGTGGATTCCAAATTGGAAGAAAAGCCAACTTCAAAGCAACTCAAACGAATGCTTTTAATTGCCCTTCGTTGTGTTGATCCAGACATACAGCATAGGCCGAGTATGGGCCAAATCCTTGTCATGCTTCAGCCTCAGGACCTCACCTTTTACTCCCTCATGTACGTATTTCCATGCCCACTCCTTCATACATATTTACATGCATGCATTAATTTTTTTTTTTTTTTTAAAAAAAACTCCTTTTATTGTAGGGCTGTCGGATCGGAATGAGTGAGTTCTTGTGAAGGTGTGCTGATTAGCATTGCACTTAGAAAAAGAATTATACATTTAATTAATTTGAGGTATTTTTTATTATTATTTATATATTTCCATTTTTGAAGGATAAGATTGCATCATATAAATTTGTTTTAAAGAATTCTAATTCTATTTAAATTTTTTTTAAAAGTGCATATTTTGCAATATTCAGTTAGTTTAAAGAATTTAGTTTTTGTTTGGTTAATACGTTTAATAGAGGTTTTATATTTTATTTATAAAGTTGCTTTTGAAGTTTCGGATTTTTTTTTTTTAATTTATAAATTAAATTAATTTCTATTTTAAATTTGCGGACAAATATTAAATAAATAAAGCATAATTTTCTTTAGAGATAATTTTAAATTTTAAATTATATAAATAAAAATAGGTATAATTGTATATACTCTGGAAAAATATATATAGAAACCTCAAATATTATGGGATATAAAATTACTATCCTATTGTCCAGCATTTTTTATTGAATTTAATTCTCTCACTAAAATCGATAGTTTTGTGCTCTGAAAAATTACATACCATTTCTTTCTGCTTCAAAATTACCGATAAAACTTTAAAAATTAAAAAACATTTTTGGAAATAGACTGTGTGTGTGTTTTTATTTATTTTGATTTTGTGAAAAATCTTTAAATTATTTTTAAGACGTAAAAAATTAATGGATGACTAAACAAAAGAAAAAAAAAGCAATTTTAGCACTAAATTCGAGTATTTGGTTTGTTTTTTTGTTTTTGTTTTCGTTTTTTTTTTTTTTTTTAAATTTCTTTGAGTAGGGCCCTAAAATCTTCCAAACGTTTAACTAAAAGTAGTAGCTGGGAGATGCGTGACATCCTAGCAACACCGTTCGACTGTCTCGTGTCACAGGAGATAACAAAACGGCCACGTGTTACATGAGATAACAAAATAGCCACGTGTCAACTGGAGAACCAAATTTGAAATTCGGAGAGATCCACGTAGGAGACAATAATAGAGTGAACCCCCTAGAGAAGGGGTGTGGAAAAGGCGGCAGGCCACGTGGCAATATGTGATTGCATGGGAAAAATGAAGGAAATGGTTTTGTCGTTTTAAGTGATTAGCTGTCAGTGTCGTCTTCTGTTCCTACGGCAGCCATCAGCCTCACGTTCCCAGTCCACTGTTCTTTTTTGCTCAGCCCTTGGCCCCTTGGTCCACACACATCAATTTTACCCTTTCACCAACTTCCTTAATTTTCAACAACCTTATTCTATTTTGACGTTAACTGTGATGGTTTGGGAGATCAAAAAAAAAAAAATTTAAAAAAAAAAAAATAATGTTCGGGTCCTAATATGATGTTAAGTAAATTGTAAAAAAATTTTAAAAAAAAACTGGAGAAATAATTATATTCCTATATATATATATTAGAAGTTTATACAAATTTATAGGATGTGATTATATATCTCCATCTTTTTGCACTCCTATTTGTTTGTCATGAAAATTTGTTGTTATTTTTTAAACAAATTACTAACCGGTAACTATATTTTTAGAATTTTTAAAAATTTTTAAAAATTTAAAGAATTTAAAGTATTTTTTACTTGAAGTTTAAAGTTTAGGATTGAAAAAAAAAAAAAAAAAGTGAAAATGACAATTTTGTATATAAAGGAAAAAAGGGCAGCAAATACTCCAACCAAGTTGCCCAATTTTTTTATTGTTATTATTTGTTTTTTTTGCCGAGTATTTGACTCCACTACTTCAAACCGATAAGAACTTGTGGTCTCTGTTCCTTCAACCTCCATTTTTAGCTCTCTCTCTCGCCGCTGTCGTTCTCTCCGAGAAGCTTCCCCTTCTTCCACCGTATTTTCACCTTTATCTCTCCCATGGCGGCCGGCCTCTCCGCCGTCTTAGGGCCCAAACCATTCCATGTCTTCCTTACTTCCTCCAATCTCTCCCCTAAACCTCGAACTCCGTTTCTGTTTCCATCTTCGGTCTTCCGGAACAGTAGAATCCAATGGAAGATGCGGAGAAAAACGCTGCTCACCGTCTGCGTCCTCGTTGAGGATCAGAGTAGTTCCAGCGAGGTGGAAAATCTCGCAGATGAAAAATTACCGATTATAGTCCCTCAGATCCCATCGCCTCATGTTGCAGAGAAATTAGCGAGGAAGAAATCGGAGCGCTTCACTTATCTTGTTGCTGCAGTTATGTCTAGTTTTGGAATTACTTCCATGGCTGTCATGGCAGTTTACTACCGATTTCACTGGCAAATGGAGGTCCTCTCCCTCTCTCTCTCTCTCTCTCTCTCTCTCTCTCTCTCCATAGAAACTTGAATTGTTTTTGTTTTCATCGCGCCGTATTCTTCCGACTAAATACTGAATTGCGACTGTTCAATTTGGCGGTGTGTAGGGCGGAGAGATTCCTTTCTCTGAAATGTTTGGTACATTTGCTCTCTCCGTTGGTGCCGCAGTACGTTTTAAATCTCATTTCATCTCTGTATTCTCTACTTTTCTCGAAGAATTCGATTTTCTATAGGCTGATTTTTACAATCAATTTGCGAACATCAGGTCGGCATGGAGTTTTGGGCAAGATGGGCACATAGGGCTCTCTGGCACGCTTCCTTGTGGCATATGCACGAGGTATAGGTTTCTAATCCTTCTTATCTACAGAATCTCGTATTTCTGAGTTCATTTCTGCTGTGAAAATTTCTATCAACAATAATCCACGATGAACCTCAGTTTCATAGCGAACAATCAATATTCAAAAGGATAGAAGAATCGTTGAGGCTTGGACTTGTTAATTGCAGCACAGTCGCACTACTCACTTCTCTATAGTATTTTTTTTAATGTCTTGGCTGTTGAGAAGATTTGATTAACAATAACAGATCGTCCGCTGTGGACCTTTCTCTCATTTTCCATGTTCACTTTCCTAGCAAACAAACAACATTGAATTAAAAATGAAAAATCGTTGACGCTTGGACTTTGTTGATCTTGAATATTACAGTCTCACCACAAACCAAGAGAAGGACCGTTCGAATTGAACGATGTTTTCGCCATAACCAACGCCGTGCCCGCCATAGCTCTCCTCTCTTACGGCTTCTTCCATAAAGGCCTCGTCCCTGGTCTCTGCTTCGGCGCAGTAAATCTCTCTCTCTCTCTCTCTCTCTCTCTCTCTCTCTCGCAATCTTTCCGAATCTGAGTCTGTTCATATCCTAACTAATCACTTGGGATTAGCGCTAATTACGGTGTTAACTGACGAAAATAGCCCTAGAAAAGTGTTGTTAATTGAGAAAGGGTTTTGACACGCTGGCGGGTTGTGGCAGGGCCTTGGAATTACTGTGTTTGGGATGGCCTACATGTTCGTCCACGACGGTCTCGTTCACAAAAGATTCCCTGTGGGTCCCATTGCCAACGTGCCCTACTTCAGAAAGGTCGCTGCTGCTCACCAGGTAATTTAATATCATATTAAATTATGTTTTTTACCGTTAAAATTAATGACATTTGTTATTAACTTGCATATAGAAAATTAATTGCACGTGTCTAAATGTAATTCTAGATTTAAAATATTATCTCCAATTTAAATTTCCAATATTATTTTCCTAATGAATTTTATGAATTTTTTGTTTCTCGGCTGTAGCTTCATCATTCGGAAAAGTTCAACGGTGTTCCGTACGGGCTGTTTTTGGGTCCAAAGGTTAGTTTCGGGTCTATTTATTTTTATTTTTATGTTTATTTATTTATTTTTAATAAATGGTTTTTGCAAAAATGTTGTGGTTCAGGAATTAGAGGAAGTGGGAGGCCTACAAGAATTGGAGAAGGAAATCAACAGAAGAACAAAATCAACGGCCAAAAAACCAATCAACGGTTCTTGATTAACCAGTCACCAGAGGGCCCCACTGTTGATGTTAAGTAAAAATGAAAAGGAAAAAAGAAAAAAGAAAAAAAAAAGAAAAAAAAAAAAAGAAACCCTCCCCTGGCAGTAACTTTGATAATTAAAAAGTGAAAGTTTAGATCACTGCCTCCTTTTTTCCCCCAATTTTTTTTACTGTACGAGGCAAAAGGATGGAATAATGAGATGGTAAATTTGGTAGGAAGGATTGGCTTTTACCCAGGACTTACCCTCTACTTTTTTACTCTCTAATGCGACGGTGAAAAAAACAAATCAGCCAAAAGTAAATAACTCACCCGTAACATTGTGTAATTTTGGATATTTCATAATTTAGTAAAGTATGTAAATATTCGAGCCGGTTAAATGTCAAAGCGATCACTAATCGAATAAATAATTTTTAAATGAAAATATACAATAAAATATAAATGAATGGAATCATTTTTAGAAGAATCAAATGGATTAAACCAACATTTTAAAAGTTAATTCTAAAAAAAGTAATTGGTTTTGTTGAATTAAAAAAATAATAATTAAATGTAAATGATGAAATAAGTATTTAAATTAAAAATATTTAAAATGAATTAGTTAAAAAAGAAAAGAAAAGAAAAAGTGCCTAAATGAAAGGATATATATAATAAAGTATCCTAAATGCCTTTCATTTTGAACTCTTTACTCAATAGAGACGTTCGCACTTCCCTTTCAGCACCTTCCCGCGCGCCAGTCATCTCCTTTGGCGGAGTGTCAACATTTCTCTCTATTTCTCTCTATTTCTCTCTATTTCTCCCACATTTTCACACGAGGTATGCTGAAATTTCGGACCAAAAGCCAAGCATTTTAGTGCCCAAATGGGTCCACCGGGAGTTTCATAATAAGGTCGGTGAAAAGCTTCTTCCCTTTGATTAATTTATGAATTATGGAGTCAATTAGTGCCTACGTTCTTGGATTAACAACCCTATTCTATTTGGGAGTCTGATTAGGCTACATATATATCACATGCAAATCACACACAAGAGTTTCTTTTTGTGATTAATGGGGTCTTTGTCCTATCCAAATATTGCACGCCAGGTGTTTGATAAAAAGCCTAGAATCTAGAAATGACCAAATTTTATGGGATTTTCGAGTCCTTCTGTTTCATCATGCCTTTTTTTTTAAATGCATTTCTAGAATTTTGTCATCGAACACTAATAGCTTTTGAACTCAAAATACCCTATAATGCACTCCACCTGTTTGATAAAAGTCCCCAACCAAAACCACTTGCAAGGGATGAGATGAGCCTAAAACTTTGTTGTCTCCATTCGAGGTATTGGGTTTTACGTGTCTGTTTCTTACACTCTCGGCCACTCCACGTTGCCATTGTCAACCCCCATGGGATCCCCTTGGAAATTGCTCAACCATTTCTGTAAAGTTAAAGCCGTAAGCTCGGGGGTGGGAGGGTTCATGCATTGCACTTTCTAATTCTTTATTCATACTTTATAATATCCTCTTTCTCCATTAACAACTCTGCTCCAAATTTGTCAAATTCTCATTGCTTTATATTTTTCCATTTCTTTCACAACATGATGTGACATTCAAATAGTGTTTGTGCGCATAAAAATTATACTTTCTAGCCTTGTTTAAAATTATGTTGAATTAAAATTTTAATTCTGGAAATTGATTTTTTCAAATGGTTTTTGTTTTTTGAGTGATTTATATTTTGCATTAAGATGCATAATTTCTTGAATTTCATCATATGAGGTTTTAAATGCATCTTTTTTCTTTTTTTTTTTTAAAAAGAAATGTTGGAAATTGGTCCCATTTTAAGTCCACCGTTTCTTATTATTATTCTTTTTTTAAAATATTATTTTATTGTTTCTTTCAGTGGAAAGCGGGATTTTCGAAAGCGTGCACGTCATCCTCATCTTTAGTCAATTCAATTTGGTTTACGGGTAGTTCAAACTCAATACGGAAATTCCAATGCTTCTTCTTTCATGAATAAAAAACTCAGAATTTTGTTTTGTTTTTTATATTTTAAAATTTTTAATTTAGTCTATATATATTACTTATAAATATTAAAATTAGTTTTTATTACCAATTTTTTAAATAAATTTTAGAAATCTATTCCTATCGAGTATTTTTTAAAATTGTAGATTTAAAATTTGAATTTTCTTAGAGAAATTAGAAATTCCTTTAAATATAAAGTTGTTAGAATATATATTTTTGGAGAAGATCGGGTTTTGAATATTAGAAGCTGTTTAGATTTAATTTAGTAATATATTTATAAATAATAAAATTAGTCAAGATGATTCTATTTTTGAAACAAGTGTAGAACGATTAGTTTTTGGTACTTATTGGAATTGGTATATATGACAATTAATACCTATTTTTGTTAACATCAAGTGGTTATGCAAATGATTTAAAAATACATCGATTTAACTCTTTTTTGTTTAAATTATTAATAGTTTTAGACACTTTTTTTTTTTTTTTTTTTTTTTTTTTTTTTTTTTTTTTTTTTTTTTTTTTTTTTTTTTTTT